ACTACTACTACTAGTACTACTACTACTACTACTACTACTACTACTACTACTACTACTGCTACTACTACTACTACTACTACTACTACTACTACTACTATTAATAATAATAGCAAGCCCAAAGCACTTGAATTTAGCACGATACGCTAAAGGTCGTGGTTTGGAAGGCTCCCAACTAACAGGATTGTACGGTCCTCGTGGTCTGTATTGTGTGTATGTGGGGTGACTGGCTTGGAGACTGGGAGGCAGGCCCACTGACTCCTTAATATGTAGCCTCTATGACACTCTCACAGGCGTGAGAGATCCGAGCCGATCACTGTTCCGTGAAGGCCTGGTGCACTGGGGACTAGGTCGTGTGCAGCTCGCGCAGACGGGCTACTGAGCTATGTTGGTCATTGCATCTCGATATTTTCTGAGCGCCAGAGCCCGTCAAGTGGGGGAGGGGAGAGTACGTTAGATACTGCGCAAGTGGGGTGACTGCATCACGGACTGAGAGTCAGGCTTAACGGCTCCTTCTTAAAGCGACCTCTATGGTACGCTCACAGAGGTGAGATCTAATCCGACCTGAATAATTTGAACTCAACCTGCAGATGCACTAGCGCTGAAGATTGCCATACTGCGTGCTGTACACTTTTATTGTAAGGACGAAAACGAAGAAGCCATAGAGAACTGATAAAATCCTGCAATGAATGTAGATCATGTGGTTGACTTCATAAGCAGCATTTAAAAACGAACGGATATGATGCTGTGTGTATAGACACTTCGCTGTCATAAAATTGCAAACTGAGTAAAAACCAAGGGGTACCTTTTCTTCAAGTATAAACTTAAAAACGCCATTTGTCACCAAATGAGTACAAGAAAGAGTAATTTTGTGCATACATATACTGGAATTTATGGGAACGTCGAAAACCTAGGGAAAGCGAATGCAACCTAAGTGGTCATTTTTTCGCGAGCGCGTATAAAATAACTGGCCTACCTTACGAAATTTCAACCGAAATTCTGAAATCTATTTTCGACTAGAAGGGACTACTTAAGCGGGAGTGTAATATTAATTGGTGTGGAGCAAATCCCAAAATAGTTCAGCCACGCCGGGATACCGGTTTTCAAGGTTCTTCCCGGCCGCCTGCAAAATACACACTCGGTAAGAAAATGTTTAATTGCGTAGTATGAATTTTCCCTTTGATTTTTCATGTCCTTAAAATCCTAATATTTTATAAAAACAAGCGGAAAAATTTCCGGTAGTAAATTAAGTCCTTTTCAAATTTCACAGTTAAAGAAAGGGTATACGGTAAGGTGGGCTAACTCATGAAATTTCAAACGAAATTCTGGAATGTGTTTCCGTTTGGAAAAGATTACTTAAGTAGGATTTTAAAATTAATCCTCATGCAGCATAAATCTATAATAATTCAGTTACTGCGGAATGCTGGCTTTCGAACAAATATAATTCCGGCAACATGAAAAAACCTCAATCTGAAAAAAATGACTGCTTAAGTAGCGTGATTTTTCTTATTGATTTTCGAGTCCTTAAAATTTCAGCATTATTTCATGGAAAACATGCATAAAAATGCTCATCATTTTACTCATTCGGTAGAAACTTACGTCTTTTTCCAATTTCATATTCGAAGGCGGAGTATAATTTGGTTTTAAAGTTTTTAATTGTAAAATTTTGCAATACTGTGAAATGTTCGTTTATAAAACATCGTGTCTCTGGATCTGTTTATGCTGCTTGTAAAGTTTACAATATAGTCCAAATCCACTGCTAAATTTCATGAACCCCATATGCTCTCATCTTGATAGCGTACAGAAATATATGATTTTCCATACACGGAAAATATAGTTTATAGCTTGGAAACCCTGAATACAAGTGTAACGGCAGGTCGGGTTCGAAATTATTCGAGAATTGGAAATTTTTAAAACCGAATTATACCCACGATTGAGACTTAAAATCCGAAGAAGACGCAAATTCCTACCAAATGTGTAAAAGAATTAATATTTAAATGCATATCTTCCAAGAAATAAAGATGAATTTTGAAGGGCATCGACAATCAATGACAAAATTCATGGTAGTTAAGCAGTCATTTTTGCAGAGTGTGGTTTTTGCATTCGGTCTGAAAGCCAGCATTCCGAGGTAACTGATTATAGAATTATGCTGCATGACGAATAATTTTAAAACCCCACTTAAGTAATATTTTCGAAACGAAAACGCATTTAAGAATTTCGGCCAACATTTCATGAGTTAGCACACCTACTGTACGTCGGTTTAAAAGTTTTTTTTATTTTTGGACTGCGAGATCAACAAGTTCTGTGTGACGTCTTATTAACATAGAGAAATATGTGATTTTACTTACACGGAAGGTACACAGTATGGCGTTTTGAAGCCCTAGGCGCTAATGCAACTACAAGTTGGGTTAAAATTATTCGGGCATACAAGGTTTTTTTTATAACTGAGAGAAGCCCTTTTCGGGTATAAAATTTGAAAAAAATGCAATTCTCTAAAAAAATAGGCGTCAGAAGAAATAGTTTGCGCGTGATCTTTGTAAGACATTCGGATACATAAGGGCATCGAAATCAGTGAATAAAATCATGCTACTTGGGTAGTCAGAATTCACTGAGTGTAGTTTTCGCAGACCAATAGAAAGAAGCTCATTCACGACAATCAGTAGTGCGACCCAACCTGTCTAATCGAAAACACGCAATTCAGGATTCCGGTTAACATTTCATTTCACTGCAAAGTCAATGCAGTGAGCCCATACCACTTTAGTGCAATCGGCTGCCGTCGCCCACACAGGTGGACCCACTTAGTTGTAAACAACATTCGAGTGGGTTGGCGCACGATTTAGGTCTAATGGGTGGTGGTTTTTTTCAACAGAGGATATTGACAAAACAGAGGGGTTAGCACAAGCCACAAAGGCCAGTAGGGAATACGTTCAGGTCTACCTATACAGAGAGGAGTACGCTTGGACACAAATAGACTAACAAGAGGCCGTCTTTAAAACTGCCAGGGGAATCGACGGGATTAGCCGGACAGAGACGGCCACGCCGTCTGCATGCAAACGGCCGAAACTCAGACAGGCGGGAGCGGCGCAGTAGTCATGACAACCGAGGACGCAGAGTTGACATCGCCTCCCGGGTTGGTTAACCCACGGTTGTCTTCGCCGGATGGAGTACACAATGAGAACATGGGTAGGAATTGACAAGCATACTAAAGGATTGTAAGAGAGTTGCAATTGCGACGGTCCATAGGCAGGACGGAAAAATTTTCCCTCTCACGGATAAAGACTCAAAAAGGATTCAGGTTGGAAAGGCTCAGACGTTTATTTCGTGTAAAATCGCTCTAGTGATGCACAATACTACTACAAGGCGTCTTCAACCTCTTTCCAGCCTGACATTTCGCACTTAGAATCGCTTTGCTAATCGTGATTAGTACTTCCTTTAGGCTTTCAAGGTCGCATGAGCTCTCTGCCTCCTTCAGCTCGCGACAAAAGTAGGCGCAATTATCTTTAATCAGGTTAAAATCCAGCGAATAAGCTGACCATACGACAGAAAGCTGCACGGTAACGATAGGGCGCAGGACTCTCTCCAAAAATATACCCCAAAATT